AGCGCCCGTCATCAAGGAAGGGCCTGGCTGGGCTGGGGATGAGAGCGGGCGCCTCTGTAACCTTATAACCAGGCGGTCTTTTGCAGGCTCCTTACTTCTGGCCTTCGAACTGCTGGGAACCAGAAAACACTGACTACGGTGAGTGTGTGAGCCCTGGCCCACACTGCACTGTGGCAGGAGGGCGGTGCACAAAGGCGTGACCTGGGTGACGGGGCGGGGGGTCTGCTGCCCTGCCTGACCCTGCTGACAGCCAGCGAGCTCTCGGTTCCACAAACTGAAGGACAGCAACAGGGCACAGGGAAAAAAAAAGTTGTATCAAGGCTTATCAGTGTCCAATAGGATATCAGTATCACTAGGATCCCTTTGCAACACTAAGTAACAGTGACTTTTGCTAGCTCCTCCCAGCACAGGGGTTCAGGAAGGCTGGGCCCAGGAGCCACTCCCCTGCCATTTTAGTCCCACAGACTTACTGCGGTTCACTAAGAACTCTTTTGATTATTGGAAGGTACTAGAAAAGGGAGAGGGACCAGAGAGGGCTACACAGATGTCACCTCGGACCAGCAAAGTCAACAGTGGGAGAAGATGAGGTCTGGGCAAGCCGGGAGTTACATCTGTGCAGACAGGACCTGTCAGCCCTGGGGCCCAGAAGGGCCACATCTGGCACGGTCACACTGGGCGGGAGCCCCAGCGGAGGCAGTATCTGCTCCACTTGTGTATTCGTGAAGCCTTTAGGATGCAGCGCGTGCCTGAGGCATGGTCAGTGCTGAGTAAATATCTCCCGATGGTTCTGGTTTATGACTGAAGGTGTTCAGCAGACACTCCTGGGAGGTGGCAGAATCTGAGCTCAGCTCTGAGTGGCTCCAACACTCACGCCCTCCATTGTCCTATGCATGATGTGCCTGAAGGTCATAGCAGCAGCAGCGCCTGCCCTTTTGCATGGCATCTTGGTGGCTGCCGTGGCAGTCTAGCCCGTGGCCATCCATGGGACTGGGGCACGTGAGGAGCCTGAGAGTTCTTTCTAGATTTTTTTTAAGGCTTGTGTGCAGCAAGGAGGAGGGTGTAGTCACCACGAGTGGGAGAGGCGTGCGGCTGGCTGCTGTCAGGAGACCTGGGGAGAAGCCACCAGCTTTGTGGCCTGCATTGCCCCAGGTGGCACCCCGGGTGGAAGGCAGGCGGTGGCTGCACCTGAGCCTCTGAGCCTAGAGGCTGGCACTCACATGAGGAAGGGCCCTGGTCGGCTGCTCAGCTGTCCTCAAATGCCACGTGAACTCCAGACATGGCCACGTGTGGTGAGCAGGTCCAGCAAGCTCCTGGCTCAGGGCAGGTGCTGCCATTGGCCGTGCATAGCACACGTAACTCGGGTCTAGAACACGGCGCCCAGGACCCGGCTGGCAGTGAGTGCCTGCGGCTTGCTTGCACGCAAGGACTTTCGTGAGCAGAAGCCCAGCGCTTCTGCAGCCATGGCGAGAGTATGAGGAGAAGGAGATGGGCTGCCGAGGCCCAGGACTAAGATCTGTCTCCTCCACCTCACTCAGCGTATGAAAGGGAATTATTCTCTTCTGCAGACTTCCTCCATCTCATAATTTTTGGAGAGTAAGTAAATAGGGATAAAAATGGCTACTGGTTTTAGGCTCTCCTGAAAGCAAAATTATTTGGAATCCTTGGCAAATTGGGTGAAGAAGTCAAGGTGCAGGATACAAAAGCAGCTGCCAGTATTTCCAAAGCAGTCGAGTGAGCAGTCTACCAGGGGCAGGCCGGGGATTGCGGATCCCAGAGCAACTGGCTGCACGACCCGAGTGATCTCAGCACAGTGCCTGTGTTCGCTTTCTGTTGCTGTGACAAAAATACCTGAGAAGGTCACCTTCAAAGAGCAAAGGTTTATTTCAGCTCATGCTTTCAGAGGTCCAGTCTGTGGTCATCTGGCTCCATTGTTTCTGGGCCAGGGGCGACAGACAGCATCCTGACAGGGACCGTGGCGTGGGGCAGAGTGGCTTACCTCATGGCCACCAGGAAGCAGAAAGAGGGAAACGGGCTGGGAACCAGATACACCTTCCAAGGGTGCTCCCCAGTGACCTCCTTCCTCTGTCTAGGCCCCCTCCCCAAGCCTTCCAAGAGCCCCTTTAAGCTGTGAATTCATGAACAGGTTAATCCATTCTGACGTCATGGGCCTCGAGATCCAGTCACTGCCCACCCCGAGGTCTCACGCCTGAACACGGCTGCTTTGGGTACAAGCCTTCAACACGCGGCTTCTGGGGGACATTGGAGATGTGATCCATAACATTTCTCCACCTCTCGGGGCCTAAAATCACAGTGGGAGTGCTGCTTGTCCCTTAGTACAGTTTGGCTAGGATTAAATGCAAATGCATGGGGGTGGCCAAATAGCTCAGTGGATTAAAGCACCTGCTTAGGCAGACGCAGTGGCCAGGGTTCAATCCTCAGCCTGCCATCCTGGCCCCAGCCCCAGGGCCCACTGAGACAGTGATTGAGACTGGGAGTGCTGGTCCATGCCTGTAATCCCAGTGCTTGGAAGGCTGAACACAGGCAGATCACTACAAGTGCAATCTGCATAGTGAATGTGGCATGAACCAAAGGGACATTTTGGAGCACTTTATTAACTGAGCTCAGTGGCAACATTCTCCTCAGAAAACTGACAGGAATGCGTACCTAGCTTGAGTGACACAGTTTTTAAAGGGAAAATCCACAAGAGGAGGGGGGATCTCGCAAAGTTTATTTTGAGTTAGTCATGACCGAGGGTTAACTCTTTGTTCACATAGATGAGGTCGCATTTTGCAAACCCTATAGGAATATGTCCTTATTTGGCTTAGGCATTGTTTTTATTCCGGTAGTCAGAAGGACATCTGATGACAGTTTAACCCATTTTCAGGCATTCCGTTTGTTCCCGTAATCAGAAGGACAGTTTAACTCATTTTGCAGAATGTTGAGGAACATTTTTTATCTTCTCTTGGAATGCTGAGAAACATTTCACGGTTAGGCATGGGTGGGAGTTTGCAAAAGAGGTCAAGGTTTTACAAAACAGAAGTTATAAAGCTTGTTACAAAATGGAGTTGATTAAGCCAGCTTACAATAGTGAGACCCTGTAGATCCTGGAGACCCTGTACTAAAATACAAAAAAGAATAAAAACAAAAATAAAATGCACGTAAGGTTTGGAGCGCGGCACACGGTAAGGAGCCCGCACAGTGTTGATGCTGGTACTGTCACTGCTGTGATGGTGGCAGCTTGTACTCTTCTCACTAGGGTGCGGCTGCTATTGATACTCTTGCGGCAGTGGTTGGTACTGCTCCCCAGATAGTGGTTGCTAGTTAGTGCTATGGTGGCAGCGTGTTGTCCCTCTTGGCGGATGGCACATCATTACTAAGATGGGGCTGCTGTTGCCACTGCAGCGGTGGCTGGCGTCATTAGTGTGGTGGGGGTTGGCATTACTGCTACAAGGAGAGTGGCTGTATTACTATGGTGGTGGCGCTCGATGCTACTGCTGTACTGCGGTGGTTGGCACTACTGTCACCGGGCGGGGTAGTGACCACTGTTGCTATCTCGCCAGCTGTTGATATTGTGATCTCTGAATTGATGGTTGTCAACATTTTGTTACCTGAGGACACTGGTACCGAGGACAGCTGCACCCTAATGTAGTGGACAGATTGCCCACGTGTGATGTCACCACAGGGAAGCAGGTTAGCAGCAGGTGGTAAAGGCCTCGCGATCATCAGGACTGGTACGGTGACGTCACCACAGGGAGGCCGGTTAGTAGCACGCGGTAGAGGCCTCGCGATCATCAGGACTGGCGCGGTGACGTCACCACAGGGAGGCCAGTTAGGAGCGCGCGGTAGAGGCCTGGTGATCATCAGGACTGGTATGGTGACGTCACCACAGGGAGGACGGTTAGGAGCACACGGTAAAGGCCTCGCAATCATCACGATGGTGGCAGCTCTGGATTCCTCCTATAGTTCTTCCCTTCACAACCTGGCTGACCCTTTTTGCCCAGATGCTTTGGAAATTTCCTGGCCAATAGAAAACACAGCCTAGCCCAGTCAGCTTTGTCAAGGCAGTCGCTCCTTTCTGTGACCTGCACTGCTCGCAGGACATGAGGCCAGGGCTGCTGGGGTGGTGACATGCCAACTGCCCTGCTGGAGCTGGCCTCTGGCCTCATAGGCTGCTCGTGGTCCAAGGATCTGGAGGAGATAATTTTGTAATAGATGACATGGCCTTTTATCAGATGTGAGGCAGCCGTAGCTGCTTGGATCACTGGAAAAGTTGGTAAATAGAAAAATCAGAAAAAAAAAAAAATTGCATGCGCTGTGCAGGGCACAGGAAGGCAAAATAAGCAAGGGAACAGAGTGCGACAGTATACGAGGTAGGACTGAGGATTCCAGCTCGACCATAGATCACAAGAATTTTTAAATTTCTTTCTTAAACCACATTCATAATAAACCATCCAGTTATTAAAGTGCCTCAATCACTTAAAGGCACTCTCACAGCCACTGCAAGGTCGGGCTCTCCCAGATTTTCATGATTTTTGCCAACTCCCTGACTCATCCCAAGTTCAGCTCTCTATTATCAATTAAATTGTTCCAAGCCATTCAATTGCATCATCATAAAAACAACACTCATCACATTCAGGTCATGGGTAAGATGCTCCTCAGCCAAAGGTGAGGTGAAGTCCTGATTAACCCAACTTAAGTTGAAAATAGCTTGAGTCAAAAATGCCTTGAACACATCTGACCTCCCAACCATCCTGACTGAGCAGCACAGAGCTCTGCCGAGTGCAGGTTTTCCCCTGCTGTGATCATACACCTAGGACCTGAGTTGATTCCTAGTGCAAAAAGGAGGAGTGTCATACTCCATATTGCTAGCTCAGAAAATAAAAAGAGCAAAACTTGAAATTCAAAGTATAGTTTTACTGGAGGCGTAGGGCTTTTGCACCATGAAGTCCAATCCAAGGTCTGAGACTGTGTGTGTATATGTAATAATTAGTGAACTTGCGTAATTAAAATAGCAAGTGTAAACCTAACACAAGAAAATTTAGGAACCACCACCACAGACCCTTGTCAGCACACAGTGAGACTGCAGAAAGCAGGAGTCTGGGCGGGCATAGCAGAGAGAAGGCTGCTGGCTGTGAGCTGCCCTGAGAAGGTGCACGCCACCCCTGCATTATTCAGAGCAACCTAAGGAAGCCACGTAATCCAGCAGGGAACCTCCAGGGGTAGTGAAGCTGTCAAACAGCTGGATAGTCACAGGTCCTCTGCGGCCTGCTTTCTCCCCTTCTATCTCTCTTCCATACCTTTCATTTACTGCTTTCCCTGGGGTCATCCATTTCACACTGGAGGAGGAGGAAGTCCCTGAAGAAACAGGGATAGGGACACAAGGTGACAAAGGCCAAGTCTGAGGAAGAACGCCCTGGCAACGGCAGATCCGGAAGCCGGCCTGAGCCTGCGCTAAGAGCCCTCACCCATCTTCCTTCTCCACATTGCTCCCTGCCACCTGGCATGACAGGCCAGGTGCTGAGGCCAAGGCTACCGCTGGCATAGCCTCTGCTCCTAAGGAGCCAGAGCATGGAACACTCTAGAAAGTGGGCAAATTCAAGGCGGTGGCATTAAGTTTTATGGTTGCAGGAAAATCGACCCATCTGGGACCTTGATCTGGGCCTTCAGAGATTAGTAGGAGGTCACTGCACAGAGGAAAGGGATTTTCCAGGCAAAGGACATGCAAGGGAAGGGAAGCAGAGCGTTTGGTGACCCCGTGATATCTGATGGGGACAGGGAGAAGGAGGTGGAAAAGGCAATCAGACCGGGTCACCATGAGCCATGCTGTCACCGGGAAGATCTCAGTGCTCCTTCTGAGGCCACCGAGGAACCAATCAGGGCAGGGCTCTTAGGCTGAGGAGTGTCATGATCGTGTTTGTGAAAGATCCCTCTGAGTGGAGAGCGCTCAGGTGTAGCAGAGTGAAAGGAAAGAGTTCTCAAGATTGACAGAGGGCGTCCTCATCTGACTCGACCTACAGAAAGATTCCTAGAGGTCAGCTGTCATGACTTCCCCTTAGAAAATACATCCTTCCCCGGGCAGACACGGACACATGGTGAGGGTTGGCGGGACAAATGGCGAGCAGAAGGACGCGTGGGAGGATGGGACTGTGATTCTGCCGTGCGCCGGTCTTACACCCGGTGTAATTTCTCTTTTTCCCTCAGCCATCTACCTCTGTAAGAGGACAATGCAGAACAAGGCAAGGCTGGAGTTGGCAGACTATGAAGCAGTAAGTACGGTTATTTTTCAGGCTCTGTGTGGTACCTTTCCTTCTTCCCGCTCCAGACAGTGGGAGGGGGCCTCGTCTATCTCCCCTGCTCTGATCTCAGCTTCTTTTGCCGTCACAGTAAAACTGCATAAATAACCCTCAAAACTCAACAGTAAAAGTCAATGTTATTGCAAATATGTACTAAAAAAATTAAAAAATAAGAAATAGGCAAAGGACGTAAGACATTTCCACCAAAGAAGACAAAAAGGGGACAGATGCTCACAGGGAAAGGTGCTCAAAGTGGATAGCCACTTAGGAAGCGCAGGTTGAATTCGTGGCGAGCTGCCGTTGCACATTTGCTAGAATGGCTACAAGGAAAAGCTCTGATCAGCCAAGAGCCGCAAGCCTGAGGAGCAGCCGAAGCTCTCCTCCGTCGGTGGTGGGAGGGGAGATGGCGCGCCACTCTAGAGAAAGCGTGTGGCTTCTTGTAAAGTTGAACATGCACTTACCGTCTAACCAAGTGACTCCACCTCTACAGACGTGGCCTAGAGAAACTGCACTTATATTCACACAAAAACCTAATGCGCTAATGACCATAGCACCTCATCCGTGCTAACCCAGAACTGAGAACAGCCCAAATACACCTTAGCATGTGAGTGACTAAGCCAAGTAAGGGGAGCCCACAGGATGGACCTCTATTCTGAGTAAAAAGAAAGAACCAGCTGCGCTGCACAGTGAGACCCTGTCTCAAAAAGACCAAAAATTTAAAAAAATAAAAATAAATCAAGCTGACCCTGTGTTTGCATAAGGAGGAGCCGTGACTGCTAGTGTCACACTGCCTACTTCCATATCACAAATGTTTTCTGCTTGATTCTCTTCTCAACTGTGTGTCTTAAAATGATAAACTTATTAATAATTTAAAAATTCATTTAAATCTTCCATTCGATTTGACCATAACAAATATTGTTTTATAATAAATATGCCCTTTTCCAGTATATCACTGACTAATTGAAAGTTTTTAAATGTAGGTATTTTTGACTTCTATAATTCCTTTGAGTTTAGTTTCTATTTTAGGAGGTTTTCAACAGGAACTTCCTATGAAAATTTTCCTTAATGTATCCGCTGGTTTCTGCTATGGCTCCACCTGCTCAAAGCTCGGGACAGATGAAGACATTGCGGGGGAGTTTCTGCTGACCGATCCTTTGTCCTTAGCTCCGCACCATACACGAAAATAGAACCGCAAGGTCACCTCTCTATATGATCCCAGTGCAATCTCTGAAATTGCTTCAATTAAAAATTCAATTTTTTAAAGTCAGAAACAGACTAGATAGTTAATGTTTTGAAGCAAGCCAGCCAGCCAGCCATTCTGGAATTCTGAAGCTGGCCTTCACGTTGCCCTTGGTTTACCAGCTTTGTCTTGAGCAGTACAGTAGGACTCAAAAGGCACTGCCTGCTAAACTCACCACCAAATTAAAAGTAACAAGTAACATTTGTTACCTTCATATGTTTGTAATAAAAAAATTAAGTTCTAACTAACAGCTACATAATGGCATGAGGAGCTTTACTTTTTATGTATTTAGTACAGGGTCCACAGGATCTACAGGGTCTCACTATGTAGATTGGACTAGTAGTGATCTGCCTGTGTTCAGCCTCCCAAGCCAGGGATTACAGGTGCACACCACCACGCCCAGTCTCAATTGCTATCTCAGTGCACCCTCGGGGCAGGGCCAGCATGGCATTCTGGGGATCGAACCCT